TGAAAACTGAAAATCTACAATATATATATATATATATATATATATATTCAAAATATTAATAAATACTATAATAGTACACAAATAATACTAAATTAAAACTAATAATGCAATTTTTTTTAGTAAATTTAATTAATTGGCATTAGCTTTAGCCTCAGCATTAGCAGAACTCCCCACTTTGCAAAAGTGATCCTTTTCTTTGCATCACAGATATCCAGCAGTCATCATGACAACAAGCAGTAATATGGTCTCTTTAGAGCTGAAAGGTGTGTAGATGATGAATTAACAGGACTAGCGTGGGTCACAGCTTGTTGTGTCACTTCCTTATTTTCCCCTCTTTTTCTAAACCCACAGCAGTCCATCATCAGCAACATTTTCAGCGCTGCTCAGGTCCCCGTGCGGCAGAGCACCATGAGTCAGTGATTGGCTGCGTTTGGAGAAATATAGGAAGGCGTGTGTCAGTCGGTATCTTCTCTATTATGCTGACAGCACAATGAGGTCTGACAGAGGACAGTGCCCTCATAATGTGACCCACCACTGACAAATTTCATCTGTTTATGGGCACTGAGGGCACATGCTAATATTATTTCAACTTAGAAGAGCTGTTCAGAGATTAATTTTTAATTGAGCTGTTTTTAAAGGTTTACTTTTTATGATTTTGAATTGTGTTAATAAACTAGATTTTTACACACATGCTATAATTATTTGTCAGGATGTTGCTATTGTCACGGTTCTGTTCTGTTCTTGCACTTGAGTTTGTTTTCATTTATCCCACGTGTTCCTGTGACCTAGTTTTCTTTAGTTCCCTTAATTAGTTTATTCTGTTCACCTGTGTTCATTAATCATCTCATTAGTTCCCTTGTTTAGTTTCTGTATAATTTCTCCGTTCTGTTCAGTCCTTTGCCGGTTATTGATTGATGTTAGATGCTGGTTGTGCTGCATTTTCCCTGAGTTTCTCCAGTGTTTCTTCTGTGGATTTATTAAAGGACTGTTATTTGGAATTCTCCGTCGTCTTGTGCTCCTTACAGCACTAACACATGACAACTATGGGGTTGCTAAAATATTTAGAGTGCTTTTTAGTGTATTGTAAAGTTTATGAATGGTTTTGTGGTTGCTAGGGTGCTCTAGGTGGTTGCTAGGATGCTCTGAGTGGTTGCTATGCTGTTTCTTCTGATTGTCACAATTGCGAGAATAAGAAGAGGTTTCTTTGAATGACTGTGGAATCATCTCAGTTTCTGTGAGAAAAAAAGAAACTGCCAAATGTATTTTCAAGGTTGTAAAAGATAATATTATTAAGATATTAATTAAATATGTTTAAAAAATATTTGTAAACACAAAACTAAAGACTGGTAAAGAAAAGTAGGCGTAATTATTTTATGCAATAATTTTATTTTAATATTAAGAAATATAAAGCTGTATTTTATAAAAATTATTGTATACACACACACATACACACACACACACACACACACACATATATATATATATATATATATATATATATATATATATATATATATATATATATATATATATATATATATATATATATATATATATATATATATATATATATATATATATATATATATATATATATATATATATATATATATATATATATACATACATACATACATACAAGTACACACACAAAGAACAAATAGAAGCAAATTATTTATAATTATCTGCTTGTTCTATAAAGTACTTATTATTTTTAATACCACACTTAATATTTTTCTCTCTCTCTCTCTCAGTATACATTGTTGATGTTCATAAAATGATGTTAATATATTATATTATATCTGTCATTATATTTTAGGATCAAAAAGTTAAAAAACTCTAATAACTCTATAGCTAATTATAACCCCACCTCACCATAATAATTTTACCTTTGAGGACATTCCCAAGGGGAGCATCTGGGGACAGTTTTATCCCTAAAGTATATCTAAGTAAACATACATACGCATTTTTCTCTGAAAACCTGGACCCTTGAAACAAGTTAAGACAAGAAAAGAGGCCCTTGATGGCTAAATACAGATGTCCTATGTGCACTAATCTTTGTCCATGTGTTATTTTTGTATTGAAATATTCCCAGCAGCCTCATGCACCTGTGTTCTGGGGGACAGATGTGAGTGAAAGACACATTCAGCCTGATGTAACTGTGGACAAGTCTATACTGGATTGTGCCGTAGCATCGGGATTCCCACGTCCTCCAGGAGCAGAGAAAGCATTGGGATAGGACAGATACAACACAGGCAAAGAGCGAGAGAAAGCCAAAGCGTTTAATGCACCGCTGCAGCCGAGGGGACATATGCATTTATTTATAGCACAGGTTTTAATGAGCCTTTAAACTGAAACAGACGCAAACAGGCACAAAGAAAAACACAATGGCCAACGAACGCATGCACACGAGCTGATGCGCACAGATAGGACTGCCCATGAGGTCCAATCTGTGAAAGGAGGATTGGATGACTTGTGCTTGGATCATCTCCTTAGGGAATGCAATTAGCTAGGCTGAGCCAGCCGATTGTGCTTGTGTTGCCTGAATGTTTAATCAGTGATCAAACAAGCAGAAACTTCATTATACACACACACACACACACACACACACACACACATGTACACCTGAATAGAGCCCCATTACTGAAGCTGCTGGAGAGTGTCCAATAGGTCACTAATGGAGCACCTTGGTGTAAAAGAGGACAGTGCATGTACAGTAGAGAAAACATATGGTGACCTGCTTTAAAAACTCGCTTTCTCATTTCGTTTTCA